AACCCTCTCTATAACAAATAATGGCTAGCAACAGCAAGGCTCTGATCGGTGTGCTTTTCTTTCTCTTCTTACTCTCAACTCATCCCATTGCACCTTCAATGGGGAGAAAGATCCTAGGAACAAGGCCCACTTCGTAGTTCTAAAATTCGATCTTCCATTATTATGGATTACTTATATTCATGATTAGAAAAAGGAAAAAAGATGCTTGTATATATGTACTCATCGTCTAAGAGCCTATATCTTTGTGATGCCTTTCTTGACACATTATTCATGTTTACTTCTTCCACCCATGGGAATGAAGGAGGTAAGGTGGTGTTTTGTGTTCGGTGGTGTGCATTTATTGTCTTTTTTTTTTTACATTATTTGATGTATGATTTATATTATATTATTATTTTATATATATATATATATGGATTTTGTTTATGTATATAAAATCTTTTAAGAAATACAACCGCATGTGCACGTATATACCAAATTTTGTAAGAATCAACAATAATCCAAAACACTTGAACAAAGTCAAAACCGTACCTACCCAAATCCACAACCTAGAAGGCTGGCAGGTTTTGCAACCAAAGTTTAAAAAAGAGTCTGGTCGCATATAATAAGTTCTTAGCTTTTGTAGTTTGAGCTATTTAACATGCATTGGAAAGTTTTCCTTGCAAATTGAATGGATTGGGCAATAGATAGGGTTGACATTCAGTTTTATTAAATTAATGGATCGAAGGATAACGTGTATTAGACTTGACAAAATTATTCAAATTTTTTAATTTGCTCATTGAAGCTTTTTTATTATTATTATTTTATTTTTGACAGCTATCTCAGATTGAAGTGCACCATTTTCCCAAAAAAAAAAAAAGAAAGAAAGAAAAGAAAAGAAAAGAAAATGAGAAGAAGAAGAAGTGCGCTGTTACTATTAATTTGCCACGGTTAATCTCTTTGAGGTAGTCAAGGCAAATTAAAGGGTGACTTGACATAATAAAGAATTGAACGAGCAAATAAAATTTTAATTAATTCGTTTACTATTAATGCACTAACGTGCCTGGCATTTAAAATTGCAGATGAATTTGAGAGCCATGAAAATGTATATGCGGCAAAGAAATTCGGAACCGGCCCTGGCGAACCGCTCTATAAGCCCACTCCGCCAAATGAGGAAATGCCAGGTGGTTGATCAGATGGCCCTTGATTTGAGACCGTGAAACCAGTTCATGGAAGTTATTGAAAATAAATTATTGTAAATCACTTACGCTACAAATTGTAACACAACGTTACATATTACGTGGAAAAAGACCTTTTATTCTATTTACCAACAAAAGAGAGCTGCTATGTACCGAATCCTTATGAACTAAAATAAATATATAAAGGTATCATTTTGAAAATAAATTTCTCATTATCTTGACATGTCTCAAATTATGTTCAACATGGTCTGATGAAACTAAAAAAGGGGTGTAAAAAAATTCGAGTTCAATCGAGTTACATGTGAGTTTGCATTGAAATGTAGGTTTCAAGCATAACAGAGAGTTGCTATATTTATTTTTCTCCAACCAACGATTGTTAGAGAAATGATCAAAAGCCCCCAAAAAACCTCCCATAAAATCCAGACAAGGGAGAACGAGAAATATTGTCAAAAAAATAAAATGAATTGCGACTATAAATGACGAGATCCTTGGCACACCAGTTTGACTCTTATGAATTTTCTAATTTAATGAACCGAGCCTGCAAATATAAAATGCCTATGAACTCAATATTACTATTACAGTCTGGTTTGAGGTAAAAAATAAATAAGAGTTTTAGTTGATTTCTATGTTTATGATCAACAAGACTCTTTTTTGTTAAATAGAAAATAAAAAAAGTTTTGAGTTATCTATTTTAATTGATTTTGATTAAACTTGTAAACCGATTATTATCGGTTTATTTGAGTTTGGGTTAATAAAAGGTTAGAGACATATGACAGCTGTACAAATAAGGGACAGAGGAGACAGAGACTATTTGAGGACAGAGGATTCGAAGCCATTTCGAACCAATTGCGAGTCTTTTATTTGAACACAATCTAAAGTTAACATACATAAAAAATGACTGAGTTTTACATTTTTTTTAGACTAAGCCTGCCCCTCAACCTTCAAGAATGGTATCATTCCTACCCTTAATTCTTCTTGACAAAGGTCTAAGGGACTTTCAAGTCAAGATGAGGATATATTGCCTACCCTGTTTTTTAAGGAAAATGATGTTGTTCCCTACCCTACTCTTTAAGGAATAAGGATGTGTTGCTAGTCTTTCTTCTTTTCTTTTTCTTTTTTTTTTTATCAACATATCCTCAACGTGGGAAACGGGAGTTTTGGGGGGAGGGGTGTTGACCAATCACCAAGATCTTGAAATTTCTACTTCTTGACATTAAAACATTATTGTTTTTCAAGTGGATCCTTAGCAAATTAGTGTTTGCCACCTAACAACGTGTTTGAAATTAAATTTAGCCCACTCTAGTCTTGTACATAGCTAAGTGTTGTCAAGACAGGTAAACACTACACTGTAAACTGCCTCCATTAATGTATAAAATCCACTTCATTGTGCCTAGACAATTACCTTTTGGCAACATATACAAGTGTCCTAAAAAGGACAAAAATGATACCAAGTAAAGTGCCTTTATAGTGCATCTTTAGAGACATTGGTGTGTGCCTATTTGCAATTTCTATCATGGCAATTATGAATGCATCAAATTCATTAAACATGGCGTTAAAAAATGACTCCAACCCTTTTCAAACGGGTAGTTTAGTAGACATTTGATGTGTGCCTCAATAGTCTAAGTGCCTCTAAAAGTTCCCAATTGCATCATTTTGTTGTGCCTCCAAATATAATTTTTCTTATAGTGGTGATGATGAATATAGTCTTTTTACAATTGCTAAGGGAGGTAAGTGATTTTTTAAAATTTTAGAGATACTAAGTGATATTAGGAGAAACCTCAAGGAAATTTTCTAATATTATCCCTAATATTTATATATTCAAAGTATATCTTTTTGAATTCCATAACTAAAATCTCAAAGAACTTTATTTATAAATTTATTTATTACCAAGTATTTTTATAAATATTCTTTCATTGAGCCATTGGTTCAATCACCTACTCATCGGTTGAAGCAATGAACCATCCATGTAGTCTCTCTGTCGACTTCCTTGTCGGCTGAGTTTAATAAATATGATTAGATATTATTTTTTTAGAAGATGGTAGTCATGTTTTTCTGCAAATTTAATTTGATGCTAACGCTTACTAGCAAAGGCCTAAAAGACTTTCAAATCAATTTATATTTTCAAACAAATTTTTTGTTGGGCCCTTGTTCGTAAAGATCCGGCCAACCGTCAAGATCAATCCAGTAGCGGTTGGCGTCACACAATTCTAACATTGGGTGTGTGCGAAGGTCCAACAAGGTAGGCTCAACTTGAAGAAATTTTGGATGGAAACAGTCGATGTTTTCAAATAAATTTAGTGGTGGGCAGTTGTGAGAGAAAGTCCGATAGTTATGGTTGACTGAAAACAAATTTACTGTTGGGCTTTATTGGCAAAGGTCCAAAAGACTTCATAGTCAAGATGAGGTTGGCTGTCCAAGTCTTTTACTCCCAGTAACCGTCTACTAATTGATTTTTTTTCTACCGAAAACAGCAAGAACACACACACACACGGTTAAATTAACACTCAGGAAGACACCAAAGAACGACCCGAAGGACAATCTAAGGGAGACCCACAAAGCAACCCTGTTCAGCCAATTGGTAACTGAACGGGGCACCGGTGGACCTTAAACCCAGAGTAGCTACTCCACGTTCAGTTACCAATTGGCTGAACAGGGTTGCTTTGTGGGTCTCCTTTAGATTGTCCTTTGGACCGTTCTTTGGTGTCTCCCTGAATGTTAATCTAATTGTGTGTGTGTGTGTGTGTGTTCTTGCTGTTTTCGGTAGAAAAAGAAAGTCAAGTACCCAGGATGCTTTCTTTGATTACTTCCATTTTCAGGACTCCCAAAGCTATAAAACATCACACTTTTCAGTTACTTTAACTGTTGAGGCTAATTCTGAAACGAAAAAATTGGAAAATTATGTTGTGTTAACATGTTATCGAATTAAAACTTTCTAGTTAATGAATCAAAGAAGGACGTATGTTCCTGCAAGAGAACTCCAATTTTTTTTTTTGTCACAACGATAGGATTTCTATAATCTAATCTAGCCTAATCTAGAGAAAGGGGGAGAGGGACTCGATGTGAGTAGAAACTCCATCGAACATGGCCGATGACGACCATCACATATTGTGAAATTTTTTTTGTGGGAGGCAAGGATCGAATCTTGACTGCAAGAGAACTCCAATTAGAAGAGTTCGTTTTTTCAGAAACTTAGAAGTGCCAAAATCTTAAAGGTGACCCTCGTGTTTTGGATCAAGCAACTTGTACCCAACTAGCTGTATGGTACACTAGTCTAGCAGCTATGGAGTCTCACCTAACTTGTATACATAAAAGGTCATTGTTTTTTTTTTTTTTGATAAAAAGCAAACTTTATTAACCAAAAAGAAAAAAGAAGGTCATTCGTTTAACAAAACTAAACTTTCACAAAAAAGCATTTTGTCAAAATCTTGAACCTCTAAGTACATAGTATCATTGGTTTAATATAACTAAACTTTTGCTGGGCTCGTGTTCGTAAAGGTCCAACCGTCAAGATCAATATAGTTGTGGTTTGTTTCAAACGTGTTTAATTCTGGGCCCTTGTGCCCCACGGTCCAACATTTATGATCAGCTTGACGTAATATTGCACGCGCAAAGTCATTATTCTTGTTGAAAAAACAATTTTTAATGGCGGGCAGTTGTTAGTAAAGGTCACATACTCGTGGTTGATTTTAAATGCTCGGCCCTGTATTGGCAAAGGTCCAGATGATGACGTGCAGCGGTGCAGCGACCCAAGTCTTTAAGTTACAAGGACGTATTGCCTCCGACCGCATCAATTGCATTTACGCTATCCAAGTGCTATAAAAGTACGGTTCGTTGTATACAATCATCGGGAAAGGAATGTAATTATAGAACCCACAATCTTAGGTTCTTACATAACAAACAATGGCTAGCAACAGCAAGACTCAGATCACAGTACTTTTCTTTCTCTTCTTGCTTTCAACTCAATCCATCCTACCATCAACAGCGAGAAAGATTCTGGGGACAAGTAAGTTCCACTTCCTAGTTTTAAAGATCCATCTTTCATATCCATAGTTCTGCTTTTTTTGATGTATCCTTCATGTATAAACCTTGCCACGCATATGGACTACCGGTTTTGTGAAACATCTCTGGTGAATAGAAGATTATTTGAAATATTATTTGAAATAATTACTGTAGTACTTTTTGCGATGTAATATATATGAGATAAAAATATGATTAAAAAGATAAGGATGTGATTATTTTTGAGATAAATAATATTTTAACAAATAATTCCTACCTAAACACACCTCCGTGTAGAAATTATTATTTATATAGGTTGCTAGGATGTGATTTTGTAAGCTATTCTGAATATATCTAGGAAAGTTGTCTTGCACATTTAATGGATTGGTGGTGAACAAGTAGCTAGGATTTTTATGGTTCACAAATTAATTTATCATATGATTGATCAAAGGCTAAAGTATATTAGACTTGACAAAATTATTTGAAATTTTTGGTTTGCTCATTGAACTTTGTTTTTTCTTTCCACAGTTATCTCAGACGATCAAACGCACCGTTTTAATGGAAACAGAAATGCACTCTTCTACTTGCTTGCCTAACTTAACATCTTTTAGGTAGTCGAGACCAACTAACAGAATGACTAACCAAATAGTTTTGGAAATTTAATGGCTGAATTGGCATGATGAAGATCTCAATAAATGTTGGATGGACTTTCCCTCGCACTTATCATCTAACACCCTATCCTCTGTTTTCAAACTCGGATCGGACCGGCCGGTCGAACCGGGAACCGGCCAGGTAGCCGGTCCGAGTCAACTTAGAAAACCGGAAATTTTAAAACTCGGTCAAAGCCGGTCAAAATCCGGGTTTGACCGGGTTTGACCGGGAAAAAATCGATTTTTCCGGTTCAACAGTAATTTTTAAAAAAAAAATTCAAACTTTATAATATTATATTTTGGCCCCCTAAATTGTTAAAACTTATTCGTATACCTCAAATATTTGATACTTTATAAATATTGTCCTACAATTTGAAGTTATTTTTCAATTAAATTCATAATTTTAATTCTAAACTTGTTAATATTTATTAAATAATATAAATTGCTACTTGATTGTTCTAATTTCTTTGTATTTTCTTGTTAAATATATTTGAAACATCAAATATATATGAATATACCTTTATTAATATCAATATATTATTAGATATGATATATATAATATTTTAATTTTTAAATAATTTTTATTTATGACGTCATCCGGTTCGACCCCTATCGACCCACGGTCGAACCCATTGACCCCTGACCCCTGACCTTGGCCGAGTCGCTATCCGGTCCGGTTCTGAAAACATAGACCCTATCCCTTCGACAATCGATTCTTTGGATGGAACTCTCAAATGATTTAGTTACTCGTGCTACATTTTTTTTTTTTAAATAGAACCGCTGAAACAAAATTAAGCACATCTTTAGATTCTTTGGATGAATAATAAGAACAATTTCGGAATCTTCTTGAATGTAGCATCACGTAATAGAAATTGGGATCATTTATCCATAACATTTTGTTATTGCAGATCAAAATGGGAGTGGTGACACAATATCTGCGGCAGAAAAAGTGCAATCTGCATATAAACCTGAACCTGACCCCGGTTACCAGGGCGAGCGTCATGGGGGTCCAAATTGCCACCTCTAATTTTAATGTATGAATAAATTAAAATAACTTGTGCTATAATTGTAATATAAGGTTACTTTTAATGTGCTAAAGACCTCTAATTCCATATATGCTCTTCGTCTTTTGATCTTAAGATATAAAACAACTTTTTTTTTTGTATTTGCCCTACACAATAATTACGCTATGCACTAAATTCTTAGAAGTGTTTAATTGGGCCATAGCATCGATTTTATTAGTTAAAAGTGACAGAAAATTGTGGCAAAGAATGGTTCACATTGGTCTTAAAGCTTTTGGAAAAATAATAGAAATATTTTAGCAAGAAAATAACTTAACTACGAAGCCCAAAAAAATTACAGACCTTTAAGGAAATAGTTCCTTTTCTAATCATACATATTTTCTAGTTCTTGTTTATCCATTAAAAAAACACAATATTTCCTTAAAAGTTTTGTCATGTTTCTTTCTGAATTTTTTCTTTTTTTTTTTAAACGTAAATCCATTTATTTTCAGGCTAAAATAGTTCTATGATTTTTCCAAAAAGTTTGTGAATACTTGTGTTGTAAATCTTTTTTCTAAGAAATTTTATTTTTCCATTTATTATCTTTAATATAAAAAATCCAAAAAAAATACTAATAGTCACGAGACGTTTCTTTTGTCTCGTTTAACTGAAAAATAGATGGAATAGCCAAATGAACACTTTTAATAATCTAGTGGATCAATTCATGACAAGAAAAATGGTATAGCTAGCTAAATGAGATTTTAAAAAAGTTCAGTAACCAGTGGTGCATTTTACTTAGCGAAAATTTCCCCATTCATCAACTTAAGAAAAGTATGGTAACAAATTTTGTACTTTGCTCTAATGCAGATCAACATAATGTGTTCAACTGTTATATATTCTTGCAATTTTGTACTTTCCTCATTTTTTTTTGGTAAAAGCTAATTTTTATTAATCAAAGCCTGAAAACATAGCCCAGGTTAATGCAGAAGCCTTAACCCCTAAAAGAAAAACGGAAGTTACAAAAGCTCTGTAGATCCAAAGCCAAAAGCCCCCTAGTAGGAATCGGCAACTGTGAGCCCTTAGTGAAAATAACTCGAGAGCCTGACACGGCCCCATATGCTGCTAGCGAATCCGCCACCGTATTCCCCACTTTCCTCATTTTTTAAAATTCAAAATGTAGTAAACTACCTCTAAACAACAAATGAAAGTTCAATTATTTTAAACAAAAAAAAAAGTGATCAAAGGAGGCAGAGAAAACAATAACTGATATCTTTTATTTGAAATACATGTCACAGTAAAACATTTACAATTTGCTTTTAAATGCTCATCCATATTGATAATATTCTTAGGTTTAATTCTACTTTCCACCCTTCAACTATATCTAAATTCTCACTTTAGTCCTTAAACTTAAAAATGAGACATTTTAGATCTTAAACTATAAATTTGCCCCACTTAAGTAACATCATTAAGAAAGTGAGAACGATTTTATGTCCTTAAAGTACAAAGAAAGTGGATGTACTTTAAGGACTAAATTGGACAATGTTAGATACTACTTTGTAGCTGTCTTTATGATCTATTATCAAGACCTCTCCAACAAAAATTCCGTTTTAAGGTCAAACTTAGCCCTTTCTATTCTTGCACATCTCTAAGATTTTCCCCTTCACCTAATTCCCTCTCAATTTTTTTTATTGCCCATGCTTTAATTCTTTTCTTGTGTCTTTTCCCTTTTCTTCTCTTATTGTCAATCCTTCCTTCTTGCCTTTGTTTTTCTCTCTTCCATCAATATCTTTTGAGTGGTCTTCGATGCCATAATGACAACATTATCCATAGTAACTACTTTTATAAGCCTTACAAAAAATAGAAATCTATGGCTTAAGCGACAAGAAATAGACTAATAGATAATCCACTACTTTGATTTTAAGATTCCCATATTTGTGTCTATCATTTAAAAATATCATGGATTTAGAGCGACTTTCTATAGGCGAACTCTATATCTTTACTAAAAAAATAGATGTAAATACTATGACAAATTTTGCAAATTTTGACACATATTGAACGTTGTTTATTATAATCAATACCTCCATCCAAATTCGATTTAAACTTATTTGGGCCATCAATTACATTATGCAGTTTCTTGAACAAGTGTAACGAACTCCAAACACATGGGAAAATAGAGATCCAAGGCCTTTTTCATTAGCACTGCCAATTGTTCTATGAAATATATACTATACTACCATAAATAGCGACACTTACATTTTAAAAGAAAAGGGCACTAAGACAACAAAGTGTCAAAATAGAACTTTTCAAACATACTATAATACAGTTTCTGCTGGTTGATATCTGAATGTATACATCTTCCACTTATTATCTAGGGTTATTATCACTTTACCCATTTAACGTTTGGTGTTACTATCAATTTTCCCCTTAACATGACCTTTTAGTCACTTTACCCTCAAGATTAATGATCAAATTTAACGGAGTTTGTTAACTAAAGTAAAAAGACATGTTTAGCCCTTATAATTATTTTATCCCCATAAACTATAGTCTCATTATCAATTTACTCCCTAAAATTATTTTTTTGGCAATTTATTATACCATTAAACTAACTTAACAAGTTAAAAGATTTTAGAAAAAAATACCCTCCTCTTTGTATAATAAAAATAATGAAAAAATTTAGAGTGGCTCTTCTCCTTTTTAGTTTCAAGAAAAAAAAGTCAAAGTATTAATCTCTTTTTTCTTGCTAATCTTTTAATATTGAAAAAAAAAATAGAAAGATTGGGAGGGAGAGAGAGGGCAAGATAGAGAGAGAGCGAGAAAGAGAGAGAGAGTGCTCAATTATTTTTTTAAAAATACAAATAAGAAAGAATTAAATATTCTTGTTATTTTAAAATTATTTTACTTTTTTGTTTAACACCAAATTCCAATTTTAATCTCGACAACTTTAAAGTAATATGATAATGTTAGACTCTTCTTTATTTTCTTTCTTTGTAAAATCTAATTTGCTATCTCCTTCTCTCCTATCTCTTTTTCTGTTCCTAGTATTAATAAGTGTGAAAAAAGAAATTTGAGAAAATTCTTTTATTTTTATATTTTTGGATCTCTTAAAGTGAAAACAAAAGGAAGAATAATCATTCTAATTTTTTATTTTGAATTATATATAGAAAGGGTAAATACATTTAAAAATTTTTTACCATACTGGTTAGATTAACTATGAAATAAAATGTCAAAAAAATAATGTTAGGAATTAAAACGATTGTATTACTATAATTTATAAGGATAGAATGAAAATAACAATGTAGTAATGCTATATAATAAAAGGGTACTTTTGTCCAAAATTTCTTGACATGTTGAATTGAATTACCTATGAAGGTAAAATGGCTAAAAGATAACGTTAAGAGGTAAACTAATAGTAGTAATATAGTTTAAGGGGGTAAAATGATAATAACCCTATTATCTATGTCTCTTGCACTAGTTCATACATTTGTATGGTGCAATTTAAATTGACCATTGTTGAAGATCCCAACTTTGGAAAGAGGGAACAGCGGATTGGGGCTGTCGACCACCCAAGTTTTTTTTTTTTCTTTACATCCCAGTATCATTTGTTTTTAAAGAAATCCATAGTAGAACTAGTTTTGGCCACGTTAAAACATGTTTTAAAATTAAACTTAGCCTTCCCGCGGTAAATTTTGCCGCTTTCCGCTTATTCACATCCTCATTGCTAATTCTTCCCCTTCTTCTCTTCTTCTTTCCTTCTCCCATCAATATCTTTTAAGCCCCTTCCCTCTCATTCACATCCTCATTGCCAATTATTCTGGTTCTTCTCTCTTTTTCCGTTGTCCTCCATCACTATCTTTCAAATAGTTTACAACTGACTCCATTATCATGACTTTAATCAGTAATAACAAATTTTATAAGCCTTCTGAAATATAGAAACCTAAAATAAAAAGGACAGAGGGCCAAGTCAAGGGTTTTGTCTATTGCCTTTTCTCACGGATGCTCCCACGCACTCAATGATGCACACCCTAATATATAGATCAATATAACCCCATTCAGGCACTTTCACAATTTAACACAACTTTCTATTGAGGATTAATATTTGGAGAATGGCTTGAGGCATTTGTTAGACAAATCCCTTTCCTATAATTTCTAATAACCGGAGGCAATTTAATACTAGTTTAGGGCTACAGATATATAATTTGTAAAGCTTTTTCTAGTTTCTTAATTTTCTTATCATTAACATCCCTATTTATGCGTAATTGTAATACAGGTTTACACGAGAAGACGGATAATTGTTTTGAAATGTTTTTCATTTAGTTTTCCTACTTGGAATAGTAATCCCATGGATAGTATATATATATATATTTTTTGTCAGCAACGGTAGATATCCTATTTGCTAGAGGTGAAACTGACAGATAATTTCATTTTAGTTTTGATTGTTCATTATTTAAGTGCCACTAGTAAGGAATTCTACAGTTCATAATGAATACCATTTCATTGGTTTAACATAACCATGACGTGGCTTTGCTAAAGTTTCAGACATTGTGCAGCTGCAACTACTTGGACGTCCATGTCAGCGGTGATAATTTGGTGATGAATTTCGATTATGTATATAAGCTCAAAAGATAGCAATCAATTGGTAGACAAATAAAGGCATTTACTGGGGAAAAAAGCCCAAGCTGTGGATGGTTGAAGTATGAACAAAGATTTTCAGTGAGACAATGAACGAAGATCAAAAACTAATAAAACGGAAGACTCTAAATCGGCAAGCAGTTTGAATTCCAAATGAGTGTACATAAGATTTGCTCTAAAATTATCACTTTGGGTAAAGTGTGCTGCTTCTCTCTACACCATGAAAAGCCCCAATAAAATTGCTAATAGTATAACATGCTAGAATCGACACGCTTATATGACTTAGGTCCTGTTTGATAATTTAATATTTAAATTTAATGGATTCAATTCATAACATCTTAAGGCGTGTTTGATAACAAAAAAATAGAACATTTAAAAAATTAATTTAATTTTTCTAGGCAAAACTTGTTTAAAAAATAAGTGATAAACAATTCAATTATCGCTTAATGTGATATAAATTCTAATACACAATTCAGTAATTTAATGAAATCAGAATTCA